CGTCCAAGGGCCTCTAGTATAAGACAAGCCCAACGAGGTTCCAGCCCCTCTGCCTGGGGAGATATCTGGCAGGCACTCGCCGAGCACCTGGCACATTGGTTGGCAAAGAGACCTGGATCGTCCATTTGTGGGCGGGGGGGGCGTGTGGTCCAAAATTGGAGCGGGGGGAACACCTAATATGGTAAGTGTCCTTTGCTTCCCTCAAGCTAACCAAGAAAGTGGGACACCCCGGCAGAAGGGTGTCCTGTTGGTCTCTCTTTGAAGACTTTCCCCGCTGGTAGCTGTCTGATATATTTGTTGCGAGTGTACCTTGCACATTTTGAGCATACGTTGGACTGTCGGTGTTGATGTTTGTCCAAGTGTCCGCAAGCCAGTTTTTCCTTGCGACCACGTGCTTCCTCACGTGCAATTTAAAAATAAAGGCAGGCAAAAGCGAATCTCCTGGAAAAAGGATGGGTGTGGCTGAGGTTCCACCTTGGGTTTCGTCGAAGTCACAACTTGCGGGAGTAGCGCAAGAGTGCTCCAGAAGGATAATATCCCAAGAAACGCCTGCATCGAGGGATTTCATTTTGGCGATGCTCATGACCTGCCCTGTCTCTTGGGAAGCCCTGCGTGACTCCGTGACAACTTAACACGAGACGGCCCCATTAAAGGAGTGCCCAGCAAATGAGAAGCACACCTGCTCAAGAGCACCTGCTCAGCAATGCATCCACGCTCTGAACACTGCTACTTCTCAATTGGGACGCACTTTGAACGTTTTGAAGCTAGACCTCAGACAGCGTTGTCGCATGCTGCTTTTGTTGCTTAAACGCAAACACTCTTTGTACCCTCTCCAGTTTGATGGGAGTCTTCGAAGCAAGCGCTGCGTTGTAACTACAACACGCATTCAACCGATCTTTCATGAGGCGCTTGAAACCGGTAGGATACGAGCGAAACCTAGGCACTACAAGAAACGCCACCTTGTCCTAACCAAAGTTGCTTCCCCTGCAATGAGTTTTTGGGCCGGGGAAAAGGGATAACTAAACCATGGGAGAGGTGTGTCATCCTTAACTTAACTGGAAATCCAGGATAAGCCGGGGTATGGCTGTATAACCTCGACATACTAGTCGTACCTGGGAGGTGTGGGGTGCAAGCCGCCTTGGCCAGGACCTCGGCAGGCAGCAGGTTCAACTGGCAGCTGGTCACGGCGATCCTGCCGAGCAGGGGACCTCCTTGGATTTGTGTTTTTCCCAACACCCGGACACACCGGACCCCCCCCCCACCTCAGCTTTTGCCCCCGCCAAGAACCCTTTTGATTCTGGTCCATACTTGCCGACCCAATGTAGACAAAAACGACCGCTTTCCGTGACAAAGTGTCTAGCTAGTGCCCATGAATTGATCATGTTGCTTTCGACATTGGCGCGCAAACTTGATTTTGGGTGCCCTTCATGGCAACGGGGTCCCCTTTGGTTTCAATCGAAAGCTGCATTCTGTTCATGACGAAAATCCCGTCTGCCTGGTTTTCCTTGATCACCTTGGCACCAGCCACACGTTCTAGCTCCGGGTGATGCAGCAAACACACTGGTCAAATGCACATCTGGCAGGGGGGAAGCACTCACAAGTTTTTACTCACTTGCGAATTCACCTAATTTGACTCACTCGCGACTTAACCCTGACTCACTTGCGACTACGCACTTTCCAGAAGTGTGCTCGCGCGCAGGTTTCGCGCATCCACCTGACTCACTTGCGACAACATTCGCGCCACGCGACCATCAGAGGGAGGTTTTTGGAGTGATGACATGCGTGTTGCCATCATTTTGCCCGCCACATCACCTACCTGCCAGACACAGACAGTCTCTTTCTTCCTTGGGGGGGGGGGGGTTTGGGGGGGGGGGGGGCAGGAAAGCACACCCGCGCAACGGAGCCCGTGCTGCCTGCGCCGAAAACCAGGCTTTTGGGTTTGGCTTTAGGATCTAGGCTTTTGGGCTTGGCTCGCATCACTGTAGGTGTTAGTGTTCTGGGTTTGGGTTTAGGGTTTAGGCTCTTGGGTTTGGCGGGTTTAGGGTTTAGGGTTGTGCCGTGCTTGTGCTCGGAACCGGGCCAAAACTTCAAGCAGATCAGGACAAGTTGTGAACACCGGGCCAAAACTACATGCGAACACCGAACAATCATTGTGTTTCCACCACACAAGAAATGGCACTCACTTGCGACAAAGTTAACAACCGACGCTTTTGCCCCAAAACCACACCTAGGGTCGCCATGCCCCTCCCCTCCATCCACAAAACGCTGTAATGTGCGATGTTTTACGTGACCAATTATGTGCCGTCACAAGCGAGATAGTCCAGTCACAGGCGAGGAAAAAACAACGTCACAAGCGAGAAAAAACTGACGTCACAAGCGAGGCACCGCCCTCTGGCAGGCAGCTGATGACGAAGAAGAAACCGTTCGGTGCACGAGCTGTACTGAGAACAACACAAACAAGCTGGACTTTGAAACAGAAATATGCTTCCAGCCCCTGCCAATCAGCCGAACGGCATCGTGCTCGTAGACCCAGCCGCCATCCCTTTTGTCCCACCAACCCCCCGCCCAGCCACCAAACCTGACTCAAAACACGCAAAGCCCATGCAGGGTGCCAAGAACGGGGGCCTGTACCAGGAGGCGCGCAGCCGCCGGCACTTGGACAGAAGCTCCTGGCCCGACAAGCGACTTCACCCGCGCGGCTTGGCGAATGGGTGGTGCACGCTGGACCATTCCCACAGAAAGAGGGGCAGGGTTCATGATTCATCTGTGTGCGTGTGTTGTGCGTTTGTGTGTTGCACGGGAGTTGCTGCCACAAAGGCACGGCCTGTGTCTTGTAGCTGAGCAGGGCCAGAACGCATCTGCAAGCTACTTCTTACATCCAGAAGTGTCTAGTCTGAGGCTGAGTGGTTGAATTCCTCGACCACCACGAAGTATCCTGACAATTAGCTGTTCAAACGAACTTCATCAAAACCCAAAGCCTTCCCAGAGCCATCCAGAATGGCCTGCAGGCAAACATATTCAAGCAAGGTGCCGTCCGGGGTCCTAACACGGAACATATACTTACCCCTTAAAACTCCAAGCCCTGGGGAAGTTAATATTTTACAGACATATAGCCCATGTTACCCCCAAAAAGTTGAAAAGTTGTGTTTTTAAGAGGTAAGTGTATACATATATATATATAGACATGCACATGTTCCCGGCCCAGGTTCGCTACCCCCCCCCCCCCCTCCCGGCCCCCAATGGGCGGACAGTGAAACTGTTCAGGCATGGACAACTGGAACGACATAAACAGGTCGACCAACACCATGAAAAATTAAGAGGAGCTCTGCAAAGCTTCCTGTTTGTCACTGAGTCAGTCAGTCACCCAGTCAGCCAGTCCAGTCAATCAGTCAGTCAGTCAGTCAGTCAGTCAGTCAGTCAGTCAGTCAGTCAGTCAGTCAGTCAGTCAGTCAGTCAGTCAGTCAGTCAGTCAGTCAGTCAGTCAGTCAGTCAGTCAGTCAGTCAGTCAGTCAGTCAGTGAGACAATGAGTCAGTCAAAGAGACACCAAGTGTCAGCCAGTGTCAGGTGAGTGCGAGTCAGTGAGAGCGTCAATGAGTAGGTAGGAGGCTGCCCGTGGCGGCAGCCCAATGAGCGCAGGGGTTCCCTCTTTCCACTCAAAGTCGCATAAGTTGCCAACCTAAAGGCAATGAGAAGAGCGAAGAGCTGCCCGGCTGCAGCACAATGGCTCCAAGGGAGACCATCTCAAACCAGCCATTCGCTTCTCGGGACCATGACCGCTGAAACCAAACGCCTACCAGCAGCCCGCAACAACTGCTTCTTGGATAGTACTTCGGGTTTTGGACATGGGAAACAGCAGTCATGGGGGGGAGGGGTTCTGGTGGGTGCAGCTTTATTTTTTTGCAAGGAACCAATTTGGGAATCTCCCTTGATGGAACCTCCTTTTGGTTGGTTGTTAAAGGGAAACAACCAGAGGAACCCCAAATTTGAAAGGTCCCCAGTTTTACGACCCGGATAAGAGGGTACCTAGAGGCAACCATTCACCCCTCGGACTGTCGACTGACTCAGAGCCTTCCAATGCCCGACCCCTCCTCTGAGTGGCTCTGCTGGGCCAACATTTCTTCCGTCTCGCCCAGGTAATTGAGAACCTCGACTCCACGAAAGCGGGGTCGCGAGCCCCACGAAATCCACAAAGGAACTGTGTGGTGAGGGAAGTCCCCTATGGGTAGGATCGAACTCAAATGAAAACCATTCATCTTCGGTGCAGTTCTTGAGCAAATGCCCCGGCCTCATTCCACTCCTCTCCCTGGTGTCTGCACCGGAAACCCCATTGGGCCGAAGGATACGAATCCGCGCTCATATGTCTTGTTGCTCCCAGCGAATGGGATGGTCGCCAACCACTTCCATCTTCAAAACAAGCTGGAGGATTGGTTCCCCCCAAATCTCGGCGTGAGACGCAAGCGCGTCTTTTTCGCCAATCCCTCGGCTCCTCGAAGCTCAAGGGACTGCTAGGACTCAAGAAATAAATAAATAAACCTATGTGTATTGTGGGCAGGTTCCTGATGTGTTTTTAACCCACGTGTTCAATTCTTTGCTAACATCAGGTTGCTTTGTCAATGCGGCCTACGGACAAATTGAAGCCTGATTGAAGCCACCCCAAGAGAATCCGCACAACTAGGCGGCTCCATGCCCAGCCGACGCCGAAGCAAAAAGAAGGAAAGGCTCGCAACCCGTACCATTGACCATGGCCTTCCCGAATTCAGCCGAACCCCGGTTCACAAAAGACTACTTAAGGGCAGGGTACTTGGCAGGTGGCTCGTCTGCCGATACAACCCACTTAGGAGACTTATATCCATGGTAAGTGGATTGTAACCCAAGTACAATGCCCCCTTTAAGTGGACCAAAAGAAAACAACAACGACACCGGCCCCCTTTTACCGAAGCCCCGCACCGGCCGTGCTCCCCCGCCCGCACGCTGAGCTGGTCCATGGCGATGGCCGGCATCAGCTCCAGGAGCGCCGCCTTGATGCCCTCCTGCAAAAAAGCGGCGAAGTCTCGCGAACCAAAAATCGGGGTCCACCACCCTTCCCCCCCGCGCCCCTCCCCCACCCAGAAGAAAACGGAGACTGGGGGACTGTGGTAGAAGACGGTGATATCTTGAGCAAGTTGTATGCATGCTTTGAAAATGCGTGTTTGGAACTGCGAGTTCTGAGTCGCACAGTGGGATCCTCTACACGGATTGTTGTGGCATGCTGCCAACTGCTGCTGCTCATTCAAGCCAGAGTATCTGCAATTGGCTTAGCATCTTCCTTTTCATCCCTGTTTGGCATTGCTATATTATGGCCCGTTTAGTTTTGCAGAGCAAATGGGTGGCGAGGATGGAAAGCTCGCCTTCCAAGAAGCAGTTGCACAAGCAGCTTACCATGGGAACTCCTTCCTAGTAAGAAAAGCAAAGTTGGTTGTTTCTTCTAATTTGCCTGCCGCTTAAACAAGCGAAGACGCAATAGACATGCAAGGAAAGCATGCTTTCAGTTCTATTGGTTTGCACGGTTAGATTGCAAAGCGTTAAGGTTAAATACGATGTTCATTAGAATTCAATTAGAATAGTAGGACTTTAATTGGAATTGAATTAGGAGGTGCATACAATCTAATAAGAAAAGACAAGCTAGTTATTTCTTGCAATTATTAGACGTGTTTCAAATGCGCATCAAAAAGGAATGTCCTTCCGAGTAGGTGTCTAATTAGAATGCAATTAGAATTTAAATAGAATCTAGTAAGGAAAGACAAGCTGGTTGTTTCTTCCAATTATTCAAATTAGAACTCTTGTGTTGAGTTGCATTTTAAATAGGGATTCCTTGCCAAGTAGGATTCTCACTGGAAACTAACTGGATTGTGAGTAGAATTTAGTGGCCATGTTGTGTTACGTTGTGTTCCAGCAAGAAGACTGCAACGCTGTTGATTTCAATTGTGTGGCCCGAGTTCATGACAGGAGAAATCGACGGCTGTGCTGCTCATGAACGAAGTGTCATTCCATTGGTCATGCAAAAAAATGAAAAACGATAAACTTACCAAAGACAAACAAACCGATACAAAGCTCGAGAAAACCGAAACAAACAACTCGAGAAAACCAACACAATTTTAAGACAAAAAAAATGTGTTTGCCGAGAACTCTTTCGATATGAGCTGCTGTCTTCCAAAGAGTGTCCCAAACATGTGTGTGTGTGTGTGTGTTGCCCTACGAGAAGACCGGAAGAACCTACCGCGCAAAAAGCGCACTGCCAGAGTCCCCTGTTCTCCAGAAAAATGATGTGAAAATCACTCTGATCATTGCCTTTCAGGGTTGGAAACCCTATTTTGGCAGGGGGCACACCAAACAAAAAGGAAGAATGGGTGTCACAGAACAACTGGGCGACTGTGCCTCTAGGGGTCCAACGATACTTTAGAACCCCCTGGCAAACACGGCCATATTTCGGAGGATTTTCCGGCAAAACAAACTCAACTGAAGGCTCTATGTGGGAGATGTTTAAGCCTCATCCTTTTGCAGGGACCATGTTGACGCCGTTATGTCAAACAATGAAACCAACAGACACACCACAAGACGTGTGGACAGTGAGGCCATAATTTGGTACTGTTTCAGGTCGCAACGTTCTTGTTGAATCATGCAAAGCTAACTTCTTGACATAAGACACAACCTATATCAGAGTGAGGTGGACTGAGAATAGACATAGAACATTGGTTTCCTCCTGAAATGCTGGAACTTCTGAGTTCTATTGAGTGGTCCCCACTCCAATTTGCGGCCCACAGAGAAAGAAAACGCCTTTTGGCCCCTTCCACGCCGGAAAGCCCCGGCGGCACGGCCCCTTCGCGCCTTCCAGTTGCGGCCGATCTTGTCAGGGATGCCCAAATCAGGTCCGCACTCCTGTGGAATCCAAATCTGAAGCGTAGCTTTCCAAGCTGAAAACTTTACCGGGCGTGTCCAGATTGCCGTTGAAGTGGGAAATGAGCTGGGCAAAACACCAAGTGCTTACTTACCATGGTGGTACCTGCACAAGAGGAAGAGAGAGAGAGAGACAGACAGAGAGAGAGAGAGAGGTTCGGGTTCATTGTTGAGAAAGTGAGACCCCTTGAATATTGAACTGTGTCCCCTCAGTTCTTCGTAGTCTGAAGGGGTGAGCGCCGATCTGGTGCCCAGGATGGGCACTAGTGGGCGACTAGTGGGTGATTCTCTCAGTTCTCCAGTTCCTTCCAGGATGGCAGTTGTTTCTCATTGTTCTGCATTTCCTGAGTGTTTTGCCAGGAAACAGCAAGCCCACACAGACCCACTGACCAGGCCAACCTTTCTGAACAAAGACTCATGCCGTGATCGCAGGGACCATCCCACTGTGATGGAAGTTGGATCGGGGAGAAGCAGACCTGGAACCCATGCTTCCATTTGCTTAAGCCCCCTGGAAAAAACGAACATATGTCCAGTAGCGATCGATTCCCTTTCTTAACGTGTAAACCCTTCCGCCTCGGATCCCTATGGCTTCTCCTTGATGGCCTCGCAAAAGATGGCGTGCTCCTCGATGAAGTTGCTGGTGGCCTCGGGCGCCAACTGTCCGAGAACCAGTTCCAAGAGGGGTTCTGGGAATCTGTCCGAATCTCGGCGGATGCAGCTACCCCTGCTGAACGACAACAACAGCGCGGAAATCCTTGTCTTGCGTCTTTGGCGATTCAGCCCAAATTACCTCGTCTTCGCATGCCATCCTGGTATGACGAGACCCTCAAATAGCCTCAGGTCGCTTCAAAGAGCCCTGGGAAACGCTAGTTTGACCAGGCGTGCCGGGGTGTACCTTCAGGAAAAGGAATTCAAAGATGACCACGATAAATCATATATATATATATGTATTATATATATATATATGTATGTAAGCCCTTTGGTATGCGGCCACAAAATGACGCACCTGCAACAATGCAAAACCTGCCCGCCTTCGCAAACTGGGCCGTCTTCTCTTGGTGCATCTGTGCCTCAGGAAACTTGAGAAAGTGCATCGAGGAGTGCTCACTCTCACCACGCTTGAAGGGCACGAAGCTTTGCCTTCTTTCCCCAAGTCATGGATGACTGGCGAGATATGTTGGTACCTTCTGCTGAAGTGCTGATTTAGCCAGCTGTTGCAATTCCATCGGTGCAATAATTCACACAACTCATCCTGCTGAAAGCTCATGTGTTCTCAACGATAGGCCAGGCAGGCCACAAAAGTTCGCCAACGCTGTTGCTCTGAAAAAGGATAACTGACTTGGGAAGCTACATCATACCTTAAACTGTCTAAACAAAAGATATTCTGTGGAATAAATGAGTCCAAGCAATTGCTAAATGCCGGGCAACACCTGGCCCTCGAAAAGACACACACACACACACGGATACACAGAGGCACAAAGACACAGCACAAAACACAGAGACACAGCGACACAGAGAGTCCGAGATAAAAGAGTCACAAACAGCGAGAGGCAGAAACACAGACATAGACATGAACTTGCAGACACACAAAAACTCACACTCCCAGGCCAAGCGCACACGCACACACCCACAAACACACAACCAAACCCACATGCGCGCCCGCCCACCCACCCACTCGCATGGACCCACCCATCCACCCCACCCCACCCCACCCCAACCCAGCCACACCCACCCACCCACCCCTAGGCAAACACACACACACACACACACACACACACACACACGGAGGAAAGGAGAAAAAAAACAACGTGCGCACGCTCACGCACGCAGGCACGCACTCACTCACCCACAGACCAATGCACCCACCCACCTGCGCACCCATGCAACACATGCGCGCAGTGTTGTTCGTTTTTCAGAATCGGGGTTGCAGGCAAGGCCTTGCTTTGACATGAGCAGAAAGCTCCGTCAACATTAGACAGCCTGTTGACGACCTGCGATCCACAATGGACCTTTTTCGGGGGAAGGGGGGGCTGTGTTGTCCAATGCTACTGCATTCTGGTTGGATGAGCGGCTGTAAGTATTGCCTTGACACGCTCGGCTTTTTCAGTGGTTGTTCTGGAGAACGAAAAAACACCCCTGCTGATCCCTATCATTGCAGTAGGTACTTAGGGCAACGAACCATTTTCCTGCTAGTTTCTTTGTGGTTGCCTTGGTTACATTGGTCCAAGGAACTGACCAGGACAACCCCCCACCCCCCCCCCCTCGCTGGCCCCACCCCCCCAGCCGGACTGTTGGGAACCCGGGCATTCCGACCTTCCCGGGAGTTCTGCAGCTCTAACCTCAGTCGAGTGACATGGGACCTGGAGGAATGGCATGCCTTCGCCCTTCAACGATATGAAACCGACCGACCTGAAAAAGGGTTCAAGGGCAAAAAGACCCTGTTGGTCTCAAACCAAAGCTCTTTCTGGGGTCGCGAGTAATGAAGATCGCGACCATTTGACCTGTAGGGACAATAAAACAGCCACAAACACATCCCTCTCACCTTGCAATTTACTGTTGGGGGTCCAAAGAAACTGCGATCAATCCCTGCTGCGTGGGCATGGGAAATTGCTGACTCTCCCGGTTTTTGCGGCAAATTTGGTGAGTCCCCCATGGTCTTCCCAAATATAGACTACCAGTAATTTCCTCAAACACCGCAAGTACCGCCCCCCGTGACCCTCCCCCTCCAAGTAAGGGGAAAGAGGGGTTGGAATCTGTATTATGATTGCGAGAGCAAGGACACCGGAGCAAGAGAGATGCCAACACGAACCTGGGCATCAATTCCATGATACTCTTGGCACCCTCCCTCGCGAGTTCCCAAGAGGGGTCCTTCGAAAGGAAAACAAATAACAGAAGCTGTGATTCTGATTTTTTCAGAAACAAGTGACAAAGATTGATCAAAAGTCCCTGACTTGTTAACCCCCAACCGATCCTCGAATCTGGCCTCAGGGCCCCAGCCTGCGTTTGGCATCTTTCATGAGCCGATCATACTCCTGCGCTCGGCTCGGGCAGGACTGAGCACAGCACCGCTTCTCAAAGCGGGGGATCCCTCGGCGCTTTCTGGTTCCCTTCTGCAGACTCATTTATGGCCATGCGGCAACCACAAGATCAGGATTACCCATGGACGCATTGAGTCATCCTCTATAGTTGTGGGGTGAACCAAAATGATTCAATTAAGAAACTTCCTTTTGGGCCTTCTGTTGCCAACCAAAACCTTTGTGCGGCCGAAATTCAGTTGCCCAAATCTATGAATTGCTTTGGGATAGCCATTGAATGTTCCCCTTTCGGGCCTTCTGTCGGGCCGCTCAAGAGCGGTCGATGGTGACCGCTGACTACCGCGTAACACACACACACACACAAAACAAAGTAAAACCAGATCAAATTAAACCGAACACATCAACAAACAAGAAGCAACCGAGAAGCGAGACTTCCATTTGCTTAAGCCACCTGCACAAAACATGCATTTTTCCAGTGGTGATAGATTTCCTGCAAAACCAACAGGGGGAAAATAGGAAAGTATCTTAAGCGAATAAACACCAAAAAAAACACAAACAGCGAGGAATCCTGGCCAAAGGTGGCGCCCACCACGAAGAGGGGCAGGCCGAGGATCACAGTCCCGTAGAGCATCGCCACCTAAGTCCCACCCGCTTTCCCCGACGCCTCCGCTTGTCGTTCGATCCCCTTGCCCCTCGTTTTCTCTCAGCAATCCAGGAATTTGGGGAGGATTCCCTTGCCCCATTTAGATAATTTGTTTTACTTTCGACAATTTGGGGAGGGTAGGGATCATATCAAGTACATAAAATCCCTTGGTGCCCGGTGATCTGTTATTTTTGTGACGTTCATTGATGAGTCGCCCTATGCCGCTGCCACATGATCCCAAATGTGCCATAGGCTGGACATGTTGAGCCAACAGATGGCGTTGCCTCCGAAGCCCAAATTCGTGGTACAAGGGTCTCGAAAAAGCCAAATGACGGCTTATTGACTAGCTGTCAGGCAAAAGCTGCGTCTATATCCCACGCCTGGGCCAATCCAAACTGCCAGTGCATAGCCATGGAGCCCCCGGAAAGTTGGAAGGTCGGGACACCGGAGCATTGATGGCAAAGCCCATCCGAAAAAGCAAAAGCCGCAGCAATGCTTGGTGGCAGCATCATGTTTTTTGTTAAAGAATTGGTCTTTAGAAGTATTACATGGCAGCCGTCCTATCAAACAACACGTGGACCTTGGGCTTACTCGTGGCTCTTGCACTCGAGGATTGCCGCTGATGCCCCTGTGTTCATATTTGCAGATTCCAGCTTCAGCCTCCCTCCTGGAGATCCCCACTAAGAGTTGATAGGTTGCTCAGCTTGTAATTGCCCCTAACCATGACATGCTTCCATTCTATTGAGGCTTCCTGGATCGGTCCTTCGACTCGGGGCCCGTGGTTTCAGGCTGGGGAGGGTGTTTTCTGGGACCTATTGTGACGTTGGTGCCGCTGAGGGGGGTGCAGCATTTTGACAACCCGGCCTTCCACCTTCCCGGAATTCCTCTCAGGCTCCGGCAGAACCAACGATCTTGCCCAGTGGTGTTGTTGGCACCTGCCAGGTGTGGGGAACTTGCCTCAATCCAACATGAACTCATCCACAAACCTTGTTTGACACCAACACCACCATATCAAAATAAAACCCGTGCAAATGCCATGATCCGATCCCCTCTCTCGCTCTTCCTCTCTTTCGCATCTTCCCAGAAACACGCGTCTCTCAGTTTGGCACCTGGAGCAAAAGGTCCATTACCTGTTGTAGTCGTAATGGAACAATTTGTTTACAAACAATCTAAGAAAGGTAGGATTTGGTCGCTGCGACACTTGCTTAATGTGAAACCTTCCACACCAAGAAGCTCGGACCTCCCACCCCCTTCAGAATTCCGGCGAACTCCCGCAATCGTTTGACGCACAACATGGTCTAGTCAGAATCCCAATCAGCCATTCTTGCCCATTTACTTGCACGCTCGTTCACAAGCAGCACTGACAAAAAGCGTGTCAGTTATGAGAGTGAGTAGACACGGCAAACAAGCACAGTTCACAGCTTGTAAATGGCCGTGGGGCGTTGAAGAAAACCAGCCTAGAACCTTCAGCACTCCCAAGCTGCGTGTTCCTGATCCATTCCTAGAGGGAAACCAACGCGGCTCACCTGCCAAGCAGCAAGCTGCAAACACTGGCCTCAAGATGCGCCCGCCAACTGCTTGTCAGCCAAGGCAGTTGAGCAAATTAAGACTCGAAACGAAGGGTGGGCTTACCAATGCATGTGCACATGAACCACCACTTGCGCTGGGTGTGGGGAGCTCGCTGATATTATTGGCGTTGCACGACCATTGCGCCGCAGGGATCGATGGGCGCGAGTGAGGTGAGCTGCTGATGTCAGAAGCGCCGTGAAGGTTCGGCCGTGCATCACCTACGCAGGGGAGCGCCGTTTCAGATCTCCAACCCTCGAACTAGCAATGGATTTCGCCCTCCGAAGCCCACCTCTAACTGCCTCCCGAAAGCGGCACCTGATCTCCGTAGCCCACCGTGGTGATGGTGACAACTGTCCTGAGACATGGGGCTTCAGGCGCGCAGGTCAGCCCAACTGGCGGAAAAGGGACACGCCCGTAGCTAAGGGCACTGCGACTGTTGCCAATGGAACATATGGCCTGTGCTGACAAAATGGGAGGCCCGACACCCTCTCAAGTTGAACTGTGTTGCCCACAGTTGCTCCCTGGCGGGTTCCTTTACATGGCATCGGGCGAAATGCCTTGAGGAAACCTCAAGGGCCGCAGGGATCCCGGGGGCTGACAAATCCTTGGGCAGCCTCGGGATCCCTCCAAGCCCCCTCCACTCTGGATTGAATAATCAACATGCCGGACGCATGAACATGACGCATGATCTGTTGGCGCCAAAGGCGACCATGCAAACGTCAGGTATGCTTTGAAGGTCCTCTACCTCAACCAAATGCATGAATTCCTCGGCGGCAGCTGTGTGTTGATATTAAGCCAGAAGTAGGGATCAGGATCGATTGTGTCCATGACACGAGCATGCAAAAAGGTTGTAACTGCCAGGCCTTCTACTTCTGGTCTCATCTCCCAAGGCAGCCAAGGCTCCACCAAAACACCCCGGGGATGGAGTCGAAAGGACCTCGGCGACCAATGCCCGCAAATGACTCCAAGCTTTTCCGAAACAGAACTCTCAGATGATTTGAACTTTGACTTGGTGCTACAGCATGGCATCGATCAAGATTTCACCTGACCACACTTGAGGAAACACGTACGCCTTGGCCGCCTGGCCTTTGGCTCTGAAATCAAAGCCATGCCCGTCTTTAAGCATCGGCCCGAGTCGGGACCGCGGATTGCCCAGCTCGGGTGCTTTAGCATTCCACGTGAGTCCTTGTGTCACTGGAAGTGGGAGAGCGGAACACGACAAAATTGCACCCTGGCTGCTTTTGGCTCAAGACATGCTTGCCCAACTGATGTGCTGGCAAAGATTGGTGCACTCACCTAGTGTTTTGAATTTGGAAGGAAACACCCCGCACGCTTTCTCTGAAATTACCCCAGTCATCCAGCGAATGCTGGGAAACTACCAGAAACACTTGGTGTCCTTCCACTGCGGCAGTTGTATCCGCCCTTCCGTTTCTTTCCGTTTGCCAGCGAGCCCAACTTCAACCGGCCCCCAACTTCAAACTCAACCAGGGACGGGACTCAGCCAGGGTGCCCTTCTCCGGGTTGGGTGTTCAAAGGGAAACCAACAGCAAACCACCCGTTTTTTTGCGTTTCCCCTTTTCAAAGTCAAAACCAAATATATGAATAAATACAAAAATAAATACATACATACATATATATATATATGTGTGTGTATTATTATATAATATCCTTTTTCATGCTGGCCAATGGTGGGTTTGGGGGGATAGGCAGCTTCACTATGCATTGGCCATCTTTTGGTGAACTCGTCGGAATCCTTGTCTTGCTCCCTCTTCCGTCCTCATGGTTCCCAGAGCGATTATCCAGACTATCTCAACACAATCGTGTTGAGAAAGGGATTGGTGCCCGTGCTGATTTCACCATCAACTAAGGCACGATTTTGAAACGCTCCCAGTGTTGCATTGAACACTTCACGCGGCACATCACGGGACTATGAAGCAATTCTTTGCCGGGAACCCAGGATCCCCGCGCTGACCAGGGTGTGTCCCACAGGGAAACCTTCGCTTTTTGGGAAGCCGCCCTTTATTTTTCATCCATGTTGATGAGTCGGCGGTCGACTTTAAGGTCGGTTTCATGGCCAGGGTCGAAGGATGGCGCCGGCGAATGACTTCTGGGAGCAGGTGTGTGAGCGAGAGAGAGGTTTTGCTATCGATCCAGAAAGCAGACCACTGGCCATTGGCATTTGGCTGAAGGGCAGAGGACGGGAGTGTGGGAACCTGAGTTGTGCCACGGCTAACGCATGCCAACCCTGGGCATGAAGGCGATGGCCTGGTGAAGCTCCCTGTGAATGGAATCGGTGAGGGCAAGAAGCCCACAACACATTCGATTGGTCCTCCGGTCAAAAACTCCTTGGTCGTTGATGGTGTGGTTTGCATGGAATCTCGATGTCAGTGTTGCTACACCAAATCAAGGCTAGACAAAACGGCTCCTGAAAGGGGAAAGCAAAGGAAACAACATGTTTTCGCCCCTGAGGTTGGTCATCTTGTAAAGGCTCGGAGTAAAAGCTCCAGGGCGGGGATTAAAAAAAAACACTGAAACTGGCATCCGGGGCTACGTAGCCCTATGTCCGCTGGCATTCTCGGCGTGTCAAACACCTAAAAGAGGATAGAGACTTTTCCTTCCCGTAGCCTCTCGGAACCAACTCGAAAGGGTCGAAAGGGTAACCAGGGTAGAAAGGTCGAAAGGGTTCAAGTAACCAGGATAGAAAAGGTGCAAGGTCTCAAAGGGTTCCGAAAGGGTGTATTCTTTGTCGACCTTCTCCTAGGTCCTCCAGTAGAGAGGTTAGAATTAGGGTACCCTTTTTTTGGTAGTCCATTTTATTAGGGGGACCCTCCCCCAAAGAAACGGTCAAAGGGCACCTAGCTGCGGGACCTAGTCTCGGCACCGACGGTGTCACCCACCCCGCGGGGACTCGCGAGGCTACGGCTGAGCTCCTCCGTGAGGCCGTCGGAGCTCACCCTGAGCCACGCGCCTGCGCGAAGCTCGGGGTGGGCTCCGTAGATGTCAAAGCCTTCCCCCCCCCCCCGTGTTTTTGGGCGGTGCTTAAAGGGAAACCCGAAGGAACCCAGCCATTTGGTGGGACACAGGTTTGGGGTTTATGGGGGTTGTCTCAAAATTGGGCACCCTCCGAAACAGTTCTTTTTCTTCCGCTTACATAACCGTGTTTCGCCTACTTCCCACCAGGAGGAAACTCATCTAAAAGTGGCAGCCAATAGGCGGTGCTTAAACAGGCTGAACAGAGAACTATAGGGACAGCTTTAAAACTCCTTAATTCAGTTTCCCTTTATTTGGTGGTTTGGATTGGTGGTTTGGAGGTGTTCCAAGGCAGGGGTGGGGGGGGTTGCTAACTACGCACAAGAAAGGGTTCAAAAACCACCAATTCATGGCTATATGCCTGATCAATTTTGGGGGCTTAAAATTAG